AGGCGGAGGCGGAGGCGGAGGCGGAGGCGGAGGCGGAGGCGGAGGCGGAGGCGGAGGCGGAGGCGGCGGAGGCGGCGGCGGCGGAGGCGGCGCAGGAGGAGGAGGAGGAGGCAGAGGAGGAGGAGGAGGAGGAGTAGGAGGAGGAGGAGGAGGCGGAGGAGGAGGAGGGAGAGGACCAGTGTAAGCCGAGGATGCTCAGCTGACGCTGCAACACGCCCTCCCGTCGCAATGCCCCCCTTCTCCTCCTCTTTTTCCTCCTGCTTCTGCGCCACATCCTGTTCCTCACTCCTTCTCCCCTCCTCCTTATCACTCCTCCTCACTCCTCATCCTCCTACTCCTCCTGCTCCTGCTGGTCCTCCTCCTCCTCTTCCTCCTGCTCATCCTCCTGCTCATATACCACATCCTCCTCGAGTGTACGCAGCTCCGCCTGTCCGATTGCGCATAACACGATGGGATCTTCGTGGAGGTTCAGGTCTGATGCGACATTCGTCGTCGGCGTACAGGGACAGGTTAGCGCCATGTGGAGGGATGGGATGGAATGGTTGGGTGTCAGATATGGCGCAAGCACGCTTAACTTGACAACTGCTCAGTGCGAATACTGCTCTCTTCTTTCCCTCGAAGGTGGTCAGGGAGCAGCCAGCCCCCTCCGTGAATGGTGGTTTTTTACGCAGGATTGTACCACCCCGCAGATGCGGATAAGAGTGATGGGGGCGGTGGGGACGTCGGCAGTTTACGAGACTCTGCAGGCGCCAAAGTTGCACAAATTATACAAGGAGCCCGCCGCAGCCTCCGATTTTTTCGTTAAACCAATGTGGGTAGGTCGCGGGTGGGTCGCAAATGGGTCGCGGGTGGGTCGCGGGTGAGTCGCAAATGGGTCGCAAATGGGCCGCGGATGGGTCGCGGGTGGGTCGCGGGTGTAGTAAACGCACACAAGGAAATAATCGAACAGGGCAGGGCTGTTTAGTCAACGCCCAGGGCCGTTTAGTAACCGTCAATTGTCGGGTCCGGGTGTTTTTTCCTTCCCTTGAGGGTGGGTCGCGGGGTGGGTCGCGGGTGGGTCGCGGGGTGGGTCGCGGGTGGGTCGCGGACGGGTCGCGGATGGGTCGCGGGGTGGATCGTGGGTGGATCGCGGGGTGGGTCGCGGGTGGGTCGCGGGGTGGGTCGCGGGTGGGTCGCGGGGTGCGTCGCGGGTGGGTCGCGGGTTGGGTCGCGGGTGGGTCGCGGGGTGCGTCGCGGGGTGGGTCGCGGGTGGGTCGCGGGTGGGTCGCGGGTGGGACGACGACGACAACAAGCAACAACAGCAATACCACCAACAACAACAACGCCAATACTAAGAACAGCACCAACACCAACAACAACAGCAAATAACAACACCAACAACACCAACAACAACACCAACAACAAAACCAACAACACCATCGCCAACAACAACACCAACAACAACACCAACAACAACACCAGCAACATCAACAACAACAGCAACAACACTAATAACAATCACAACAACAACAACAGCAACAACGCACCAAGCAGAATTCTCACCACGAGTTCCTTATTCGTCCACCCACCTAGGGACAATGAATGACCGTTCGGCCTTCTCAGTCTGAGTAGCTCTTGTTTGCCCAAGGTTACTTTACTGGTCATTGTTGGTCATTCAAAATGGTGCTGCCGCTACAGCGTTGGCCTCGTTTTAGGCTCGGCGCTTTGTTCTCGTCGTTCAGAGTGGCACTCTCGTCCCAGCGCGGGCCTCTTTTTTGGATCCGAGTCTGTTCTCATCGTTATCGCCCCCCACCTTCCCCTCCTCCCCTTCCCCTCCTGGTCCTCCTGCTCCTCCACCTCCTTCTACTCCAGCTCCTGCTGCTGTTCCTCCTCGTCATCCTTCCTCCTCCTCCTCCTCCTCCTCCTCCTCTTCCTCCTGCTCATCCTCCTGCTCATACACCACACCCTCCTCCAGTGTACGCAGCTCCCCCTCTCCGATTGCGCATAGCACGATGGGATCCTTGTGGAATTCCAGGTCCACTATGACGCGAGTCTGCGGATAGAGAAGCAAGCCAGCGCCATGGGTAGGGGTGGACGGTAGGGGTGTGATGTCAGGTGTGGCGCGGGCGCGCGCCGGCTTGTCCTCCTTCTCCTTCCCTCCATCACCCTCTCCCTCCGCCTTCTGGCTCCCCTTCCTCGTGCCCCGCACTCCATCTTCGAGATGGGAGAGGCCAGATCGGTGGTACGCACCAGGGCTGGAGGGCTCCGACGGGGCTATGGCAGGGGGCCGTGGGGGGTGCTGCCCCCCCCGTGCTCGCGACGGGTTCGCGCCGCCGCGACGTGGCGGCAACGCCGCCGCGGGTGTGGACTTGTGAAGACGCTCTGGGGGCCCGCTTCGGGCGTCGTGGCCCACAGGAAGCATCCCACAGCATATGATGTTCCAACCTACTTTCGTCTTGATCGCCGGCAAGAATTTCGAGCACCAAGAATGTACTGAAGCTTCAGGGTTTTCACGTGTCGGGCCCTGGGAGGCGATGCTCGTTCGGCACTGTTTCGATACCGTTCTGGGTGCTCGAAATTATTTCTGGGGTGTGGTCCTGAAGTACGATGGGAGCAACATAACCCACGGCGCGAAACTCATGCCGATGGTGTGGTCAAAAGCCTCTCGGGACCTTGCAGAGCGGAGATCGTTCTGGGCGGAACGTCGAGGCGGTGTCAGAAAGCGGGGCCCACGTCGTCACTGCAGCAAGCCTGGCGCAAGGCCGACGGGGGTTTGGCTCCCAACGATTGCAGGACGCTCGTCGAGAGTCGGTGTTTTTGGATCTCCGGTTTCCAGTCTGCTTTGAGCGCATTCCCGCGTCAAGAGTCGATGGGTCCTGCTTTGGCCTGTTACTTTGGCGGGCGGACGCCCAATTTTGGTGAAACGCTGCTCTCGTGCTTCATACTTATGCTAACTTATTCCGAGCAGGAGGAGGAGGAGGAGGAGGAGGAGGAGGAGGAGGAGGAGGAGGAGGAGGAGGAGGAGAATGAGGAGGAGGAGGAGAGGCACCCGTGGTGGGATTGGGCCACTGCCCCCCTGCTCTGCGTAGGCCCCCGGCGTCGTGTTTTTTCTCGCAGCGTGGATCCCCCTCCTGAGGACTGGCTTGCAGCCAGGGGCCTTTTTTGACGGCCCCGTGGGGCCCGGCGATGGCTCCCAGAGGCCGAAGAAATGTCCCTGGACATGATCGCGTCGTCAAAAACATCAGGACGCGAGGTTTCTGGGTATCTTCGGCCCCGGGGAGCCCTCGCCGGGCCTCGGGACCGTCAAAATACGACTCAGGACGAAAAGCCAGTCCCGGGGAAAGGGTCGGGACTTCAGGGACGCCATCCTGAAAACATCAAGACGACGTCGCATGTCTGGGTCCCAAGCCGCCCGCCGTGATGGGCTGACGACGCGAGGGGGTCTGGGCCACCAGCTGACCCCTTCGGAGACCCTCCGGCGAGGAGGCCTCCGCCGACCAACGGCCAGTCTGGCCTGCAACTTTTTACAACACGCAGACCCCGCTTTTCGGCGGGCGCCCTGGCGCTCGCCCGTGCTCGGCGGCGCGCCGGAGGGGAGTGGCTCGAGTGGGGCGGCCTCCGAAGGCCGCGGCAACGCCGCTGTG